ACACATGTGGCACGAACTGCAGTACATGGCTCAAAATTTGTCTAAGTTTTATTGTTTTGAAGTAATTTCTTTTGAGATTTACATATATTTGATTGAATGCTTCTGCTATATACTATTTTATATAACTTAAACATATTTAAGATTTTATTTTAAAAATTTTTATGTTGGGATCCCAACCTTTTAAAGAAGTTAGTTTTTGTTTGGTTGATTGAGTGGAAGGTTGAATAATAATGTTAGTTAAGGCATTACACAATACACATATATATTAGTAAAACAAGTTATACAACATAATATAAACTTGCTTGGATAGCATCTAGGCTTACTTACGTATTCACCACTGTGATACACTCAGAGAGATGCGATCCTATACACAAGCAAGTTCTCAAACCATGATTTCACACACACACACACACACACACAAAAACACATTTATGCATCTTAGTAAGCAATTCAAACATTTATAACATAATTATATGTTCATTATACACAATGGTAGTCATACCACTACTAATTGAGGCTACTCTTTCCTTGCTTTCTTTCCCATCCTTCTTACACTCTCTTCACTTGTATACAAAGATAACAAAGTGAGACATATGTCCTAATAACTTGGAAAAACCCTAAATACCGATTAGTAAGTAGAATTATAAACAAGAGATAGAATAGCATTATTTCAATAAAATAGTATAAATATGCATATACACAAAATCATACTCAACTATTCACTATGCTCATGCACTTTTAATCCTCATTAGCGGAGCAAGCTCAACGCTCGAATAAAGACTTCCAGCCTTACACAAAATAGGTTCTACCAAACTACTGTCTCAAATTAGGTATCATCAGTATGGGTGGTCTCTTAAGTCCCTATTAGAAGAGCATAGTTAATGCTTGGACTATCAAGATTTTCTAACCTTACACAGAGTAAGACCACAACTCCCTACCTTAGTATAGGGTATACTCGTGGATATTTCTCTTAGGTCCTTCCTGACAGAGCGAGCTCTACGCTGAAAATCTTTAGGACTTCCTAGCCTTACATAGAGTAGGGCTGCGACCCCCTACCTTAGTCTAAGGTACACTCACGGATGCAAATACACATGCCTCTTTACATAAATTACAACATTATTCACACATGCATGCATATTTCTTTCACAATACTACTACTCTATCAGTTCATAAAACACAATACATACAATTATGTAAAATACTTGTAAATAATTTCACAAACCAACAGATACAAGGCTCACTCTAGTTACCTTTTTACCCTTATTACCAAGAGTTACCATTTTTGTTGAACTTCTCAAATCGATTCAACTTCCACGAGCAATCCTCGAATGCTCAATCTACACAATGAATATTCTTTGCTCAGTTTCCAACATTCAGCACAAGCATTAACTGAGCCAAATTCCTTAACACATGGAACAATCTAACTAACACCTTTAAAGTTCACATAACCCATACCTTATAGTCATTAGCCCTTGGGCCACTCTAATGATCAAAATACCCTTCTAACTTACTTGTTTATCAATTTTCTCCATTTTCAACCTATACTTTAGGTTAATTTAAGCCCACATCCTTCAAGCTCAACAATTAAACTTTAAACCAATCATAAAATCTTAGTTTCGTGCCCAAAAGCCCTTTTTAAACCTTTTCTTTAGATTTTAACTCCTTAAAACTCCCTAATTCAATTTCTCTACTGACTAAACTTAAAGAAATTAGAGTAGAAATGTAGCACATGGCAGTACAAAACTTACCTGACAAGTTGCTAGCCAAAGTAAACTCCTAAACCTCATATGCCTTAGCAAAGACAAGCTCTTCTCTCCCTCTCATGCATGATTTTCTTTCTTTTCTCTTCTATTTGCACGAGCTGGAGATGTCAATTTTAAGCAAAATATGTGTCATGCACCACGATGCATGCAACACATGCCGCGACACATGGCACAATAAGGCTAAATCTCACTAGTGCTCACATATTAAGTCCCGAATCGCTGTTCTACCATCTGATCTTGTAACCATGCTAGCCAAATAACACAAAACATCAACCCATCATCCAAAATCATAATCAATCTACTAATTATTAATTTACCCCTAATTAGCAACTAGTTTCTTAGATTGAAATTCAAGATGTTGCAATCTCTAAGTTTAATTTTACGACTTCTCCAAGTCTTCTCCTCAAGTCTCCAGGTTCTTTAAGTTTTCTCCTCAAGTCCTCTCCTCTACCCAAATTGTATTTGATCGTTAGACTTGCTATGACTTTTGAAACTTGTTTTCATCTATCCTAGATGAAAGAATTGTTGTCTCTATCTTGTTCAATTCAGTGCGTCTTCCAAGTCCTTTATTTTATGTTTTATTTTCTTTTTTTATTCTTAATTCCAACATATGCTGACTCATAGGTCAAATGGATATCATTTAACACCTCACCATAATATTTACCGGTGTTAATGACACCTAAGCAAATCTAACACTGTTAATGACTGGGAGGACTAACATTATGGATAGCAAAAACTATAAGGACTGATAACAATGAAAAAAAACTATGGGGACCAAAAACAAAACACCATGAAACTATAGGGACTAAACATTTTGTTTTCCCTAAAAGGAAAAAGAATTGAATTGGAAAAAATGTTTGAGAAATTGGCGAATGACATTAAATCTAAAATAATAAATTTATGATAGCTATGTTCTAAATTGACTCAGATAGTTATAAATTCAAAAGTTTTAACTACAAATAAGATATTTAAATTTTAAATATAACTCTCAATTTGTAGTTGTCATTTTTATAATTGTTTGAATCAATATTTACAATTAATTTTTTTAGAAAACTTTGTCAAGATAACCATAATAAATTTTTAGTTTTGAGACATTATTATCATTCTACCTTGAATAATTGTTCTAAAAGTGATATCTTAAAAGAAAAAAAAATTAAAAACTCAGTTGAAACAATTGCTCTCAAAATAAGTTCAAAAAATAGGCATGATTTTTTTAATAATTACTTATCATATTGTATTGATGAACTGATTTAATAATAAAATTAGAATAAATGTTTGAGACCCTCAAGAATAAATGTTTACTTTTGGTGAACTCATTCTTCCAACAAAGATTGAGATCCTTAATAATGGTCAAAAGCCTAGTGACAATGTTGGGAAAATAATAAATAAGATATTTAAAAAAAGTCCTTTGTCTAATTACTTTAGTCATTAATAATGAGACCTCCACATGTAGTAGTTCCATTGATGTAGACTAAGTCATTTATACCGAGTCTAACCTAACCATAATTGGGTGTAGTCCATCTAGTTAAAGTTCTATTATGATTCAAATGCAAATTGTTAAGTTTTGATTGAAGTTTAGATAATTGATAATGTTTTGAGTGCAAATGAAAGTGATAATTTCATTTTGACTTTTACTTTTGTTTTGTTTTGTTTTGTTTTGTTTTGTTTTTTTTTGGGAAATGAAGGCCACCACACTTTTCCTTTGTAACAAGCTCCAAGAAAGTTATTGAGGTTTCTTAGTTCCATTAGAAGAGTCCTAAAGAGAGTTACATGAGCTTTTTTCTAATTTAGAAAGGACATTGTTCAACAAGAATATCTCGCATGGTATAGCTAGGAAGGGTTGAAAGAACATGTTATTATCATAAAGAGATATTATGGTCTTTTTTTAAAATATTTAAGTGATAATAATACATATTTTACTTTCTAATCTTATTTATAAGTCATTTTCAACATGTTTCACCCGAATAAAAAAAATCTCTTAAACTTCAAAAACCCTGTCTTAAAACTTAATAATATAAGTCAACTGAATGATAGTACACAATAATTAAAAAAATCCTATTGTGTGTAACTCACATATAGTCTCATAATTGAAAGAAAATTCAATTCATAAATCCAATAAGTTTTAAAAAAAAAATACAAAAGACTGGGCTGTTTAAATAGACTTCTAAAAAACCTAAATGATTCAATCCTAGTTAATATAAGATTCCAAATGAAGAAACCATATCCTAATGGATATGCTATATCTTGATTTGAATTTAAAACAAGATAAACTAATTTCCTAAATTTTAAAAAATAGCATTAACTACATTAATTAGACTCATGAATATAAGTATCTTGGGTTAGGCTCAATATGTTAAGAGTATTTCTTATATCTTCTAAAACTTCATTTGCCTTTAAGACTCATTTATCATGTAGAATATTTCTAATTAATAAATTTACGACTTCTTTCATCTTTTTAGCTAGGGATTTAGTCATGGGCTCTCTAATGTCTTGTAATAGATTAAAGATACTAAATGTTATATTCTGATTTGTCCTTTGATTTCCACCATTTAATAAGTTTTTATATCTATCCCTAAAAAAAAAAAAAAATATTTTTAATAATTTTTCTAATATTTAATAAGGATAAAAATATAAAGATGAATACAGAAAATAGTAAAATACATTATAAATGGGACCAAGAATAATTTTTCTAATATTAAGAGATGTTTTATTTTTAATAATTTTTCTAACATTAATCACATGGACAGATGAGATTATACATTGAGAGATACTCCCTCCATTCAAAAATGTAAGTCATTTTTTGAGGAGTTAGATGTTTAAAAATATGTAATGTTTTTAATTTTTTGAGGTATAATCATTGTATTTTTTTCAAAAGTGCCTCTACTGATAGTAACTTTATATTTATTGTAGGGTGTTTAATAGGAATAAATATAAAAATAGGGTTAATTATAAAGTAAGTAATTACTTTATTGAGAGGTGAGATTTGATTAAAAATATTTTATATTTTTAAATAGAGGAAATATTTAAGAAGAGGTACGAAGGTATCAAAATATTTCAAGAGCCATGTCAAATGAAAGGCTAACGGGGTTATGTAAAAATCTAACGGTAAGGACTAATTTAAATTTAAGAAAGTATTGGGCATGGACTTAAGAAAACATAAAATATAGGGACTTATATGAAATTAATGTAAACTGGAGGACTTCAAATCATTTTCCTCTTAAATTAACTACACTCTGTAAACTAATCCCCAACAAAACCACAATCTCTTCTGGCAGTAGAAAAAGCAATCCATTTTCCTTCGTCGACGAAGCATTCCACACTTGGTCGAGCTCGCCGTCGGACGCCGTCCACCGTTGCCATCCCATTGTGGTTGTTCTCCGGCAAGTACTGAAGAAGGTTGGAACCCTAAGGCTTTGTCTTCTCCCACAATCCGATGAGATTGATTTGTTCAATCTGGCTTTGAATCTAGATTTGAATTTCTTCTCCGCGTCATCAGTTCCCTGCGTCGGTCGCTGTCGCACCATTTCTTGCTTTGTTTTATTTTTTTTCCATTTTAATTAGTGGGAAGATCATAAAATGCAAGTGTTATCATTGTCCTCCTTCAGTGGCTTGGACGAGTTGCTTGAATCAATTGGGTTACTAAGGCATGTTTGTTAAAGTATGAACAAAAATTAAAAGGGTATGGTATCAGTTTTATCAACTATGCATATTTCAAAGGCTTCAGTGTGGGGAGATGCCCCACTGGGTGTTATACAAGTCCACCTATGTTCATCCTCATTTATAAGAATAATATTTTCCTTGGCCTTTGGATTCTGGTTCTGAATGAATATGAAAAATTTTCAGAAGAAAAATGTTTTTGCCTCCACTTGTCTTAGGTCCAGGCTCGACACCGTCTCTCCCTCTCCCTTCAGCAGCACCGTGTTGAGCTTGAACTTCTCTCGTTTTGTTTCATCAATTAGGCGACGAGCTTCAGAATCTTTCGTTCTTCATAATGTAATGACATCTATGTATGATTTTATTTAATTTTTATTTTTAATTTTATTTTTATTTTTTTGCCAAGAAGATTGACAGAAGACACTGAGAAGCTAAATGGCAACTCAAGCAGCTACCACTTTTAGTGGCAACATGAAGGTGTTTTTCTCTTCCTTCTCCGTTTCTTTTTCATATCTTGAAAATGCACCATGGTTACTATTCCATTTCTCAATATATCATTTCTTAGAATTACACTGTTAATTCCAATGTTTGTAATGTACTTCAAAGGGTTCATGATAAATTGTTTCTATGGTAGATTTCTGATGTATTTCCCTTGTAACGTTCCTCTTCATAGCACAGTTTTGAAATTCATTGATTAGTATATTGCAGTTTTAGATTGTGGTATTCAATCTTTGTGAATAAATTCATTTCAAATTCCAATAACTATAGTTGACATGTTTGTTTAGGCACATGCTTGCTCTGTTTGGTTTTTCCTGTTGAAGTACCTGACGATATTCATTAGACAATGATCTGTCGGGAACTTGAAAACTTGATTAAAAAATTTCTTTGCTATTTGATTTTCCTTTATTTTCTTTTCTCCCACCCCTTTTGTATTATATTATCCCGGCATGGCTGAAATCTGTCTCCAGGACCATGAATCTCTTTTCTGAAAACTTTGGCTGTTAGAATCTCTAATGTCCAATATCAGTTAATTATATTCTTGGGACCACACACATATGTAGATCAATTCAACGAATATTTTATGATTTTACTATGGTGTTGAAGATCTTTGTAATTTTTTATGACCAGTATGTTTCTGGTGTTTTGTATTGTATAAAGTTTTGAAGTTGTCATTAATGAGTATGTGTCTTTATATTGTTTAATTAAATAGCCTTGCTTCAAGCATGGATTTTGTAAATGTTTACTTAGTTATAAAATGTATAAGATGCTGACATCAACTTCATATTGTATGGGATAAAAGGTTTTAAAATTTTAGCTTAGGAAAATGTGGCTATGTTAGTGGTTTAGGCTTCCTAGTTGTTAGAACTTTCATAGATTGTCTGTGGAAATTTCTGTGTATTTTCCTTCTGCCTAGAACTTAAATCAGTGTCTCATGCTGATTTCTTCCAGTTTTAGTTTCAAAATTATTTTGATTGCTCATGGCCTTTATAATATCTTCCAGAAAGCACTAGCTGGACTTAGACGTATTAATCTTGAAGGGCTGCGATGGAAGGTTTTTGATGCCAAAGGCCAGGTGAGTTTGAGATTTTCCCTTTTCTGCCACTTGAGCTACTATAGAAAGTGAGTTGGAGCTGGTTCATAACCATATCATGACACCAACAAAATAACTTCCGATTCCAACTTCAAATAAGATGCTTGTTGAGCAAGCCCTTGTACTTGATATGCGTGCTAAATTTCAATGTGCTACTGGTGGCTTGTTGATCCATGGATTTTCTAACATTTGCCTTTCAGAAGAGAATAAAATATGGGCTATTGGATGCAATTCTTGATTAGCAATTTGGCATGCACATTTAAGTGTGAGATATATGGAAGTACTGTCTGTTGAAGCTTTATCTAATAGGGTGAAACAAGTATGATTTACAGAGGGGTCATTTTGTAGACAGAAAGACTATTGATTTTTAGTTCAAATCTGCTGTGCAACTTAACTCGAGGTTATTACTCCCCAGAGCAGATGTAGGCTTGATTTATTATTAGTGGATCCTTTCAAGATAATTTCATGGGTGAATTAGTTCCAGCCAAATGCTAAATGACTTCATATTGAAGGTCAACAATATGGTGGCTTAAGCCATGTGTTTGGCAGATTTAGTTGCGATCAAGATTTGAACTGTTTAAATATTTAAAGACATGAGATCTCTTCACTACTAACTGTGTACCTTTTTTATAAGGTCCTTGGGAGGTTAGCATCTCAAATAGCTACTGTAGTTCAGGGAAAGGATAAGCCAACATATGCACCTAATCGTGATGATGGAGATATGTGTGTTGTGCTTAACGCAAAGGATGTTTGTGTGACTGGAAGAAAACTTACACACAAGTTCTATCGCTGGCATACTGGGTAAGTGCTGTTCCTTTTGTCCTTACAATGAAACTGATGAAGTTTTAAGAATTTTGGGTTGCTTGGAAATCAAATTGGCAGTTGTCTATTGGGTTCCTTTATCCCATGATGTTTAAGAATTGATAACACTTCTTATTCTGACATGAAGTAGTGGCATGCAGGTATGTGGGCCACCTCAAGGAAAGGAGTCTAAAGGACCAGTTAGCCAAAGACCCTACAGAAGTTATTCGCAAAGCTGTTCTACGCATGCTGCCTAGAAACAAACTGCGTGATGTAAGTGTTATGTAGACCAATCTCTCTGGTTATTTTGGACTATGAGTATGAGATTTAGCTAACAGAACATAGTTTGGAGCCAAATTGCAATTGACAAAAGAACAATGACGCAGAATGATGACTGAGAATTTTCTGTTGTATGTTGTATTCTCTGACTGGTCGCAACCCTAGTTTGTAAAATCCCAGACTTCAGAGGGGAACCATCATTTTTCACTATTTGTAGACACTAAATTAGTTGTTTGTAGCATCATGAGAAGGGAACTTATCATCAAACTATCATGTAAAATTAACCTAGTCGAAGCCACCTTTCTTGCATTAGCGAGCACACCTAGCATTCCGAACTAATGCTGCTTCAATTCATTTATTTATTTAAATGCAAGTACGCTGTTTTAGTAATTTTTATTTCCTTGGATTCTGAAAGAGTGAGAAATGGAGAGCAATATTTCAGTTTCATAAGGTCATATTTTTACAGCGATGTTAAACTACCACTGCTATTTGATTGGGTTCTAGACAGCCGATGTTGTCACTTGTCAATTATTTTATTTTTACATTCCCACTTTAACATTGTTTATTTCTGATTTTTGAAGTTGCATTTCATGTGTTTTTTCGCTCATGAATGTAGGATAGGGATCGAAAACTGAGGATCTTTGCTGGTAGCGAGCATCCTTTTGGTGACAGGCCCCTTGAACCTTATGTGATGCCTCCTAGGAATGTACGAGAAATGCGGCCAAGAGCAAGGCGTGCGATGATCCGTGCTCAAAAGAAGGCTGAGCAGCAACAACAGAGTACAGGTGAAACAAGGAAAGGCAAAAAGAGAGAAGCCTCAGGAGAAGTGAATGCTTGAATAAATGTTATCGTGGTTGAGGGAATTTTTTCTGACCTTTGGAAAGCTATCTGTTTCTCTTTTCTAGCAAATTATTTCATGTCATATGAAATTGGTTCCGAAGTCTTTACAGGCATGAAAGCTTAGTTAAGAAACAATGGAAGCATGCATGACAAGAAGCATGTAACGTAGTTAGAGGAATTTTGTGCAATGCCTGAAACACTACGAGTTAGTCCAATTTATTCCAATTAGTCACTCGAAAAGCTTAGATGGATTGTAGTTTGAGTTCTGTGTAATTTTCATTGATTCCTGTTTGGTTCTAAAAAATTTAGAACCTGCACCATTAATTTTTCCCCCCTTAAATTTTACTCTTTTCTTGCTCTCTTCCCTCGAGCTGTCCTTTCTTTGGTGAAAAAGGCAGAAGACATGACTGCCTTATCAAGGCTTGGCATAAATCTTATTAGTCTGCAAGATCTTTCTATTTTGGCCTGACTTTTCTGTTATTGACGTTCGCCATTTATCTGTTTTCATTCCAATACCAGTTTTGAAGGTTAAGGCATGTGTGGAGTTTGCAGCACGATTACAGAATCCAATCATGAGAATAATGGAATATGAGCGAACAAAATCTGACAGCAATGGAAATTCATTGCATTTTTCGTAGTGCATAAACAGAGAAGAAACTTTGTCGCTTTCCTTCAGTGAACTCTTCAATATGGATATGACAGAAATCTTGACCAGGTTTAAAATAAAATAATCGATCCATTAAAATATGGACTTGGCAGAACACTTGACAGAACCCTTATTAGAATAAAGTTGGTTTGATTTAAGAAAGTAAGATTCCTAAATGTTGAACAACTTTGATGTTACTTTTCAATGACCCGAAAATTTATATTACCCTACAAAGAAATTAGTTACAAATTCTTACACCCTACCACAATGTGAGTAAAACTCACTTACAAATACTTTCTTCAAACTAACAAACAAATATATATATATATATATATATATATATGGGCATAAATATATACACATTTTACACTGAATCCAGCACTCCTATTTTGCAGACAGATGAGTAATTGCAGATTTGGAAAAGGAAACAGATTCGTATAGAAAGAATAAAACTGCACTTAACCTAAACCTTTTTCTTTCTTCCATTTCAGCTAGAGTTGGTAAAGGAAGGTGAGATAGAAATTGCAGACTGATCAGCCGATTTTCTCAGTGTTCGTGTCATCTGAGGGCCATTTTATGGTCTCCATGAGCCTTTCCCTCATCAGCTCCAAGTTTTCATCTGAGATTTCTTGATATATCTCAGCATGATTACATTTCTGCAAAGCAACAATAGAAGAAAAATTACTTTGATCCTTTGCAAAGGATTAATAATCCTTGGAATGAAGATATTTGGATGCTACAATCGGGTATGAGGTGTGATTAGTGATCATAATCTGAATCTCTTGATGCGGTGGGGGGAAAAGAAAAGAAAAAAGTCAACTTAAATTAATATTTTGGTCGTTTTAGTTACATTTATTGCTTCCATTTAATCCATTAAATTGATCCTATAGTTTCTCAATTTTATATCATGGATGTCCTACACATTGTTTTGGATACTAGGTTAATCCACATTTAAGAGGCTTTATCAACACCTTTTTAGGGGGTGAATGATTTAGGATGCATGGGATACTAAGTAAAAAATAGAGGATCAATTAAGCAAAACACAATAAATCAGTTTTAAGGAATACTAAGTTAACCTAAAAACTAAAATGCTACTGAAATTCAATACCTTGACCCATTTACCATAAAGGTCAAGCCTTGTTACCATCACTCTCTCAGCAAGGTCTTGTTTCTCCTGTCAATTGGGCAAGAAAATAGAATGAAGTCATTTACAAATTCATCATGTAAACTGCATTGCCATAATCATACAACTCATATGCTAACTCAAAATTGGATAGAGAGGATTTGGCATTTGATTAGACTATTAGCTTAACCGCAAAACAGAAATTGGCAGAATGAAGAGGAAAAGAGTGAGAAGGTATGTTTAAGTGCATTCACGGTTAAATGTTGCAAATAGGCTTGGAGCTTGTTGGAAACCATTTTTGTATTCAAAATCATAGTTTTTTCCATGATGATTAAAACATTTCCGTGATAGTAATAACAGTAGTACTGACAACCAGAGTAGTTTTGCCAGTTCAAGAACAAGAGAAATCAAAAGAGCAACATTAAGAACAACAACGATTGTGGAATGATTACTTGATTGTCATAACTAACAACAACAATACCAGTAACAATGACAACAACATTAACAAAGTCAGAAGCAGTTTTTGCAACAGGCGTGGGATTTGAAGAAACTGCCTCTGCATAGCGTCTTCATCATCAGCATGATGAGCATTCACCCATTTGGGTGATCTGCACCATTCATTCCAAGATGGAATGATCTGAACCGTTCATTTTAAATTAATCTTTACATATTTTTAATATTATATTATTAAAATAAAAAATTATAAAAAATTTAATATTAAATTTATATTGCTCAGAGTACATCTAGATAATTAATTTATAAAAATTATAATAGTTCTTTAATATTAAATTGAAGGAAAAATTACTCTTTTAGTCTCTCAACTTTTGACTTGCCTGTGACTCAGTCTCTCAACTTTTGTTAGTTCTCTTTTTTCATGTTAGCTTAAATCCCACAGAGCAAGAGAAGGGTATTTTAAAGTAAGATATGAACATTTCTTTTAACTCTCTTATTTGATAAGGATAATTTAAAAAAAAAATTGAAAAATAAGGATTGAATTATAAGTAAATCAAAAGTTGAGAGACTAAATTGTAACAAATCATAGTTGAGGGACTGAATTGCAGTGAGTTATAGTTGAGGGACTAAAAGATTAATTTTCTCTAAATTGAATCACATAGATTATACCTACACCATCCAAAGTATATATAGATAGTCAATTTATAAAATTATAACAAATTTTTAATATTAAATTAGAGTCCATATTAAATTTGTACTGGTCAAATTGATGATGATAGATTTATTAAAACATTTTATTTTGATAAATAAAAAATAAAAGTGAAAATGAAAAGTTTTAAGTCTAAGTCCAAATCTCATCAACGATGAGGAGTACCACAATATTCATCCCTTGTTGAGCACTAAAGGCAGTCCAAATTCAATATTAAATTCTTTATAATTTTTATAAATTAACCATCTAGATGTACTCTGAATAATATATATTTAATATTAAAATTTGCATAATTTTAAAAAATTTTATTTTAATAATAAAATATTAAAAAAATTTTAAAATTATTTTAAAATGAATGGCACAGATCATTTTAAGATAGAATGAATGGTGTAAATTCACCCAAAAGTAATGAGCACTACGTGCTCATCATATTGATGAGCAAACCAGAGGAACGTGCATAGATAACATTGAAGCAACTGCACTCAATACTCAAGGATCTAAGTATAAGAACATAGACAACATTGCCTCATAAGTGTGCATGGAAAACAGAGGAATAGAGTAAAAGGATTTCTCAACAGCGCCTGCAGTAGTTTCAATCGTTAGATTTATGTAGCTCATCCTATAAAGATTTCTTCTTACAATTACTAAAATCTTTCTTACATGCATGATTAGTCTCAGAATATGTTTAAACATTTAGTACTCTTTTCTTTTCTTTTTGAATAAGGTATTCATAATAAAACAACCAAAGAATTAACAATAAATATCTTCTGAAAATTCCAGCACACCAAACGGACCATAACAGTACCTTGCCAAGGGATCTGATAAAACGTTTCCCATCTCCAGGCTTGTTTGTTGCAACAAATCTACCAAATGAAAAGTGGAAGTAACATTTAGAAAGAATAAATACCTTGGGATGAAATTGTGAAACTCTTGGCAGGTACAGATTAATGATGCAGAAATTGCCAAAACTGTCCTATTATGATTAAAAGTTGTGCTAAAATTGTCTCAAATAATTCAGAAATGTATATCTGCGGGACTCAATGGCGAATATCATGTTCAAGACAAAATAATTACAAGATCAAAGATGATTTAAATTTGACAGAAACGACCTTGCTACAACAAAGATATCACTTACTCATAGAACCACCTATATTGGGTGGGGTTCATCTCATACAACTGCTGAAGAACAGTCCTTGCAGCCTTGTAAGTGAAATAGTTGAGTAATTGCTGTATCCAAAGGCATGCTTCCAGTTAAATTCATACCAAAAAAGTTCAATATACTCACACCAAAGTATGAAGATTAGTGAATGATAGTGGAATGTAATTCTAAGTACATATTTCCAAGTAATATAAAGACTCGATCTGTTAAAATGATCTTGCTCTTATATGGGATGGCAAACAGAGCTTGTACATTTTTCAAGAGTTTCTAATCCCAAAGTTTTTCTGCCACCACTTTTCAAACTACGAAGGGAAGCACTGAGTTTCACAGCACATGATGCCAATGTTACTGAGGATACTTAAGGAAACAGTTCTGAACCGAGAAAATCTAACAGTAATAATTTGAGAAATATGATTATGAACATACAAATTATGGTAGCTTGATGCAAAGATTAAGTTCAAGGATAAGACCGTTGATATAAAAGAGATAACATGTCATGCTCTGTGCAAAGTCTTACTCTAGTTTTTACGTCAAATAGAATTGAATTGACCAAAGAGCACATAACTGTAAAGATCCCATAAAACTCGTGCTTGAAAATTTTGGGTGAAAAATAATATCAAAAACTACTTATATATTTTCTCACAAATTTCCATAATGAAAGTTTAATTAAAAAAAGTATTCACTCTCCAATTCCCCTCTAGCCCCCACACAAAGCATACTTGCAGCAAAATGGAAGTGCAACATGAAAATGATCGAGCTACCAAATGATGTGTGTTTGAACTTCAAAGGAAAAAAAATGAAACATCCAAAGCTTTAGAATGCCACAGGAAAAATGACCAGAATAATATCTTTCAAACATTGGATATAGTTAAAAGTTCCATTGGCAATTATCAACTAAAATTGATTATGTTACCATTTTAACATCACCAAAAGTATCCTCATACTGCCCGCCAAGCTCGTTGACAATCTTAGGTCTTCTATTACTGCGCTGCTTCCTGGGATTTCTATTAACACACAGCCGCCACTCACGGCCAGCGTCAATGAAGGAACTACTCAATAGCATCGCTCCTCGCCTTACCGAGTGCTTCTTCCACAAAATAGAGTCTCCTCCACTTTTGAGATTCATACTAGTCGTAGGCAACGCATCAACGCACAAACATGGACTAGCGTGCGAGTCCAATGCTGATGAACCCATAATAGATAAAGCACCCACCATTCTCTTCACAAACCAAGCTCACCCAGACGAAAATCCGAACCCTGGAACACTCAAATGGAAAAACTATGAGATACCCACTAAACAAACCTAAGAAATAAGGGTGGGTATCCAAGAAAATTGGGGAATAAGGCAGGCGTAGTCAAAGACGCATCAAATCAAAGTGTCGGAGCAACGGTTGGAGAAGAAAATGCGTGTTTGGGTGCAAGGAAAATTCAATGGGAAAATCGTGGGATTTTTAGAATGTGTGTGAATGTTAGCCAGAAAAAATTTAAGGCCCAAAATTGACCATCAAATCAAAGAGAGGAAGATGATTCCATATTGGCTTTTCTTCTTCTGTTGCCATATTGGTTCAATAGTACAGCCAGCTCACTTGGACGGTTTCTACACTTTCGTGAATGTTCGGCCACGTGGTTGATTCCTGTCGCTATCGTTTCGTAATGCGACCGAAAGTCACGGAACTTTAATTACCAAGTTTACAACAACTGTATCTGCATGTCCTCGCTCGCCCGAGTAGCGAGAGGAAGCACCGTGCGTGAGCGAAAAGGAGGAAAAGAATCTACGTGAATGATTCCACGATTAAAAAACGAAATATCTGGATCATCCATTTCACTCTAACCACCCCTTTTTTTATTTTAATCATTTTAAAATTTATACAAATTTTTTTTCATATATAAATAGTGACAAAATTTAAATAACCTTTTTTGTTTTTAAAATTTTATTTTTATTTATTTTTTACCCAACAATTAGTTAATTATTTTAGTCACATATTAAACTAAAATATTTCTCTTTAAATATGAATGTTGTCTGAAAATTATTTAAATTAGAGTTAAAAATCATTTTTTTCATAAATTTTTTTTAAAAACACTGAGCATTTTGTACTAATAAATAAGGTAATGTTCACTCTAAACTATTTTTTAAAAAGCAATTTAATCCTTGCTTTAAAGAACTGTCAATTTCACCATGATATGCCTTTTTTTTGCCTTAAATTCAATGAGAAAATCTTGTTAAATATTAAATAATTTTAATATTGTTATTTATAAATGTTCATTCAATATTCATAAATTATTTTTAAAACATTTATGATCATGAGTGTTTAGCCTTGTACCTTTCTTAGCCCAAAAAAAAGCAAGATAGGATGAAAAGAGGTTTGGGACAAGGGGAGACACAAAATTACCCTCTCGATGTGTCGACCCGTCCCATATATATATATATATATATATATATATCTTTTAAAATTATACATTAAATATGTTAAATATTTTTTAATATAATTTATTTTTATATCAATATGAGAATATATGTAAGAATAAATTATATTAATTGTAATTTCAATATTTTCTTTTCCTATCCAAAACTAAAAGGTCTTGATACTTATAATTTTAATAACACAAAGTAAGTAGTACTAGATAATATCTTTTTTTTACAAAATATTAATATAATTTATTCTTATATTTACCTATTTAATAATTTTTATTTATATTATATTTCTTGCTTTATTTTAAGAAGTGTCAATAGCTACAAATATTTTAACTAAAGAAGAAAAATAATAACTTGATGTTATACCTGGATTGCTCTATGTTGCTCTTATACCTTGAAAATCACTTATAGTTGATGTCATGATGTGTTATGCCTGACTTTAAGTTGTAGATTTGTAATTGTGATTAATGTAACTTAATCATTGACTTTTAAGTCATTGTGATTTATATACTTATATTATTTTGGTTTTAAATTTAGCAAGTTATGCAATATAATTTAATATTTTAATGAATATTATTATTTAGGTCTTTTTCCCATGTTCGCTTTATCTGGACATCCTGATCGTGCCTCGATTCACAACAAGATGGGACAGGATAAGATACGACACAAAAATTCAATCTCTATCATTTTTTTGAGACAATCCTATCCTATCCAATAAACACCTCTATTAACAACTCAACTGACTTTTCAAAATTTTATAAATTATTTTTTAAAACAACATAAAGGTTTCTATGATACCTCCCATTCTATCTTTGAACATGCCACCATAGCCTAAGGCATTCATGATTCACCATCTGTAAGTAGGCTCGAAGCTCAGGTTGGGTAGGGTTTAGAGCTAGCTTTTCCCAACCTTGCTTTTTAGCCAGATTCGAGGGTTTTTAATGACATTGATAGTGTTCCATTGTAATCTATTACTTGTATTTGCAATTACTTTTGAGCATAAATGCTTATAATTTCCTCTTTCACCAGCACAGGCGAACCTAAAACGAGTTAGAATGACAATGAAGCAGAACTGAAAAAGCTTTGGCCACAAAAGCGACGTGTTTTTTCTCTTGTTCTCCACAATGACGTTCATAGAGAACTAATGTGATTGAAGATGAATGGAAAAACACGACAATGAAAAAGCTTACCTCGTTCACCAGCACGAGTGAATTGAAGATGAATCAGAATGACAATCAAGCAGAATTGAAAAAGCTTTGGCAATGTCCACCCTCACATCATCTCTTATTCTCCACAATGAAATTCACAAAGAATAAATGCGAATAACTTATTTCATCTTTCACTTATCCCAGTCCATGGTATCCGTCTAGCATGTCAATTTTTTTTCCTCTTTGACTTCTAATTAATTTACACTAATAGAGTTAAAAAATCTGTTAAGTTTTAACAGTGTTAAATGGAAAAGGACCAATGGGTTTAACAATTAAAAATATAAGGGTTTGAGTACAATAATTGAAAGTATAGGGACCTGATTCAAAACTAAGGTAAACTATAAGGACCCACAAAGGTATTTTCCCTTAAAAAAATAAAGGTAAAAATAATATGATCAAAGAGGATAAATGAACGCATTCATAAGGAAGGAGAGTATTTTAGTTCATGGGATTGAAAATCATAATTTATGAAATTTTTTGAAGATGTGATGATTTTTACATTCGTCGTATATATTGATGAGTTTTATCACACTTATTATTAAGGGAAAAATGATTTAGTTCATTTTTATCTTCATTTTTTGAATTCATTCTATTATAATAACCAAATGAGACCTCAATTTAGTGTTTTGTTTTAGTTTCTTTTCTCTATTTTCTTTTCTTTGGCCTTGGGTTTGACAAGTAATATGAATTATTAGTACTTGTCAAAGACTTGGCGGTCAGTGTAAGAACACGAGGAAGACCATTCGTTCATGTGAAATTTTAACATAATAATTTGGGTTCATACTTCAGTCTAAAGATGCAAATGGATACCAAATACTTGATCCAATTGATAACAGGTTGTCAGAGTTTGAAGTCTATAAACAATAATATTGATAATAGAGTTTCCACTAGAAAACGTTATGTTCTGCCTTAACTAGGATTAGTCTGGCTTCATTAAAATCCTTTCAACTCAATGCGGGTAGGTTTAAGATACCTGGCACTTTACTAAAACCAAATGGATAGTGAGGAGAGAAGTGAGATCAAAGACAAAAAAAAAAAAAACCCCCCTCTTTCATGCAAAGAGCATTGTAGTGGAAAAAAAAATTGGAGGAAGCAAAGTTAGTGATACAAATTGCTCATAAGTCCTTTTCGAATAGTAAATTGTTTCCGCATCTTTCATTAAGGTTTTCTTAAGAAAGTTTCTTTTACATTATTAAGATTTCTTGAAATTTTTCCAACGAGTTCCTTCATGAATCTTGACAAAGGATAATGAAGGAGATAGTTGAAAGCATGTGAGGAAAAACACATTATCATAGTCTCGGAAAGAAGTATGGAGATGGCAGCGGAGAAGAGGAAAATATATACATGATCATCACGGAGCCCATAATAGAAAATAAATAATAAGTTTAATTGTAAAGCAACAAAAAAATGTATTTAAATTAACATGATTCATTGGTATCTTATAAAAAACATTATTAACTAGCCTACCCAAAATGAGGGGACACTTTCAAAATCAATATATATATGTCTGACTTACAAATGTTTAGCTTTATACACTTCAGTCACTAGGAGAAATTTGTTTCGGAAATACTTTCTTAATTTATTTGGCATCACATATTTTGCCTAAAAAACAACAAAATAAAAAATAATAATTCAACATAACACATGTTAATGTGTGTGTATGTGCATATATAATAGTTAACTTCAAAAGAATTCATAGCTTGCACCTCACATTGAGCTTTTCAATATTTATAATAGACAACTAAAATTTTGATCAACTGAAGTAGTTGTTCAACTTTATTGTGCCCATAATCATTGTTGTTCATACGGTATTTGTTGTTTTAGCAATTGCTAGTAATAAAAATCTCTTGCATCATCCAAAATTGTTTTATAATATTTGTAATTAGAAATTTAAAATTATTAAAATTTTTTAAAAGATAATAAAAAATTATAGAAGTACTCATTAATATACTTATCTTCATTAAGTCAATTTTTCCTAAATCAATTTGTCTTGATTTTTTCAAATCACAAATCTTGATAATAAATTATCTATCTTCATTAGACAAAACTAACATAATATTATCTAGTATCAAATTCCCATACATTATTTTCAATTTATGGATTTGAAAAACAACTCTAAACATATCTTTATGCACCAAAAAAAGGAAAAATTGAAAATAAAGAATTTCATAAGAAATATGCATCACTGGACAATTATATTTTGTTGGTGTTCAGTGTAACGTCTTAGAATTTAAAACCTAGAAACTCAAGTGCTTAAGAAAGGTAAATTGGTCAAAATAAGATAATTACAAATTTATGATATTTTGGATGACTAATATGGTTTTTGAATTGGTGGGCAGCCTTAGAAGAGAGCTATATCAGAGTTAAAGTGAACTAGGGCACAGAAGGAAGCCCAAAATTATGTTGAGCCATTCTGTGGCATCCACCGAGGCAGATGCACCATGCGTCGTGGTGAATGAGCAAAAATCTAATTAAATTAGTTTCTTGTGCGTGTCAACAAATAGAAGTAGAAGAAGAGGAAATGTGAAGGCAATAGAGAGGGAGGATTTTTTATACTAAGGCTTTATCTTTGGAGCTATTAGGAAGAATTTTAAGCTAATTATACCTTCCTGTCTTCTCCCTTCCTCCTTTATGCAAATTTTTTGTAGATTTAGGTATGGTTGGGACTTAATTTCATGTTCCCTTGGGTTGTAACCAAACATGATTTCTTAGTTAAAGTTTTGAAAAGTTAAATCAAGCTTTCAAATTTAAGTTTATGGATTGTGTAGTAATTTAGAATCTTTGGCTAGGGTTTGGATGAACCGTAAGTTGAATTTGAGAGTTTTGGAATAATGTGGGTAAAAGATTAGTGTTA